CTCCTGAGGTGCCAGCTCGGAGTGAGCAGCAGGAGCAGGGGCACCTGCGTGCTGGGGGATGCTGAGGGTGACACTGGGGTTGTGCCAAACAGAGGGACCTCCCTCGTCCCAGCATCGGTTTGCACGTTTGGGTGGACTCCAGGGAACTGCTGGCATCAATCAGGGGGCTCTGCTCTGCCAGGAGAGCCCTCACCAGGACAAATCCCCCTTTGTCACCTCCACGAGCATGTCCCAGTCCCTAAGAGCAGCACACTGCCAAGCTGCCGGCCAGATTATTACCCTAGAAAAATGCATTATTTTTCAGTCTGTTTTCCTCTTAAGACATAATTTTACCTTGGGTGGGGGGATGGGAGGAGATGGGCCCATTCCCCCTCCCTCTGTCACTTTGTTCTGTCGCTTCCCAGCTGTTCCATCATTTTAATCTGCAGAGATTGTCTTTATATTTCGGGAATGAAATGATTTCCCACAAGCCGGGATTGGGGTTTGGATCCGCGCTCATTTTTCAGGAGCGGAGAAGAAAAAAGGGAGAAATGTCTGTTAAAGCCAGGCTGGCCATCTGGAAGGGAGGTGCGTGGCTGATGCCATTAATTGCTCACTCCCCAAGGCCTGGAATGAGGCTGCAGTCAAAGGGAAGAGCAGGAGTGGGAGTGGGGCTGGAGGGAGCCAGGGAATGATGCAACACAATCAATGCCTGCTCCGTCCTCCTCCTCGTTTAGGTGATCAATGAACGCCCTCGTGCCTGTGTTCTGGGGGCTGAGAGCAGCTTCAGTATTAATTAATATCATAAAATCACAGGATCACAGAATCCCAGAATGGCTGGAGCCAGAAGGGACCATAAAGCCCCTCCAAGCTCCAAGCTCTGCCATGGGCACGGACACCTTCCACTGCCCCAGGCTGCTCCAAGCCCTGTCCAGCCTGGCCTCAGACACTTCCAGAGATGGGAATATTTCCAGGGACATCATTAATAGGATAAAGAGGAGGGAACTTCTGGGCACCAGCCCTTGGATGGATGAGCAAACAGCAGTTGTGACTGGTGCTGGTCCATATGGCTTGTTCCCAGTGTCAAGCCCGGCTTTCCCTCCTGCCAGCCCCCACGGATGGGGAACAGAGCGGGAGAAAGGGCGCAGGGGTGGGTTTGCTCCTCGCTGGGATGGAGCAGCCGGCAGTCACGGAGGGAAGGGCGTTCTGGGGGCTCTCCGCAGCCCCCACCGTGCCTCCATCCACCGCGGTGTCCCCGGGGAGCTCCGGGGCTCTGTTCCCTCCCGCGGGGGTGGCGGCACTCGCGGCGCCCGGGGCGGCTCGGGACGGCGGCGGCTCCGCCCGGCGGAGGGCGGCGGGGCCGGGGGAGGCGGCGGGGCCGGGCGGGAGGCGGTGCCGCCGCCGCCGTGCGGGGACACGCACACCGGAGCTGTGCGAGCCCCGGTGCTGCAGCGCCCGCTCCGCTCCGCTCCCGGCCGGGACCGCTCCGCCATGGGCGGCCGGGCAGCGCGGCCCCGCTGACCCCGCACGCTCCGACATCCCGGTATCCTGGTATTCCCGGTACTCCCGGCATCCTGCCATCCCGCCATCCCGCCATCCCGCCATCCCGGCATCCCGGTACTCCCGGCATCCCTGCACTTCGGCACTCAGCATCTCGGCAACTCCGCTCTGCCGACCCCGGAGCTCCGGACTCCGCCGTCCCGGGAACTCTACTCCGTTGAGCCCGGTTCCTCCATCTCCCGGCACTCCGGCATCCCGGGAACTCCGCTGCGCTGACCGCTGGTCCCGGCTCCTCGGGAATCCGGTACTCTGTCATCTCGAGAATTCATCTCCGCTGACCCCATCTCCTCCATAACCCCGTGCCCCGGGAACCCATCTCCCCGTGCCTGGCTCCTCCGCCTCCCGGTACCCGCCACCCCGGGCACTCCCCTCTCCGCATCCCGGGAATCCATCCCCGCCGAGCCCCTCTCCCCCGTGACCCCGGGAATTCGGCTCTGCTGACCCCGGCTCCTCAGGAATTCGGTACTGTGTGAGCTTGGCTCGGCTGATCCCTCATCCTCCATAACCCCGCATCCCCGCTCCCCGCTCTCCGCTGACCACTGCTCCTCCCCGGGATCTCATCTCCCCTGTTCCCACCTCCTCCTAACCCGGTGCCCCGCTCCCCCGGAGCCCAGCTCCGCTCATCCCGGCCCTTCCACCGCCCGGTGTCCCAGCTCCCCGTGCTCCAGCTGCCCCGGAGCTCATCCCGGTGCTCCAGCTCCCCGGGCTCTCGGTGCTCCAGCTGCTCATCCCGGTGTCCTAGCTCCCCGGGCTTCAGCTCCAGCTGCCCTGGAGCTCATCCCGGTGTCCCCAGCTGCCCCCTAACCCGGCGCTCCTGCTCTCCGGGAGATCCCATCCACAGCACCCCGCTGAAATTCCCTATCCCGGCTCTCCCGGAGCTCCCACCCACAGCATCCCGCTGAAATTCCCTGTCCCGGCTCTCCCGGAGCTCCCATCCTCAGCATCCCGCTGAAATTCCCTATCCCGCCCCCCCGTCACCGACCATTTCTGGGCTCCCTGGCGCTCCAGCTCACCCTTAGCCCCGTTCCCCCCACATCCCCCCGCCCCCCCTGCCCGGAGCCCCCCGGTGACCGCGGCTGTCCCGGCTGTCCCGGCTGCAGATCCGCGCTGCCCCCCGGCCCCCGGGCCCCCCGGAGGAGCGGCCATGGCGTTCATGGTGAAGAGCATGGTGGGGGGACAGCTGAAGAACCTCACGGGCGGCCTGGGCGGCGAGGAGAAGAGCGAGGGCGAGAAGTCTCCGGCCGAGGCGCAGGGCATGACCCGCGAGGAGTATGAGGAGTACCAGCGGCAGCTGGTGGAGGAGAAGTGAGTGCGGGCGGCACCGGCACCGGCACCGGCACCGGCACCGGCACAGGCAGCGGCAGGGGCTGAGCCCCGGGGTCCCTGCGGGAACGGGATGCTCCCTCTGCGCTCCCACATCCCGTGCATGGGAGATGGGGGGAGCCGGCGCTGGGGACAGCAGGACCGTGAGGGGGTTTGATGAGCCCCCTAATCCCTTAATCCTCTTCCTCGCCCGGGAGATGGGATTGTTTTCTCCTTCCAGGCTGCGCTGGGGGGGAGGAAATTGTGGGAAAACGGGACTTTTCAGAGAAAATGGGGGGTGCTGAGGTTGGGGGGGAGCGCGAACCCCGGGATGGGGGGCATGGGCTGTTGGTGAGTGCCCCGTGTGCTCCGCAGGATGGAGAGAGATGCCCAGTTTGCCCAGCGAAAGGCGGAGAGAGCCACGGTCCGGTCCCACTTCCGAGACAAGTACAGGCTGCCCAAGGTACGGCTGTGCTGGAGCGGGGCCACGAGGGGAGCCCAGCTCCAGATGGAGCTCTGGAGGCAGGGGAAGGCACAAGGACTCCCTTGGCTGGCTGGGGTTTGAGCCTCAAAACCCAAACAGAAATAATTTCCCATCAAAACCATCCTTCTTCCCAAACTCTGGCCACTTCCCTTCCCCCTGAGCACCACAGCCCACCAGCCCGAGACATTGGGACTCCCAGCCTTGCTTGACCCCCCTCTCCCTGGCTTTTGAGCCCTAAATCCAGCTGGGTGAGGGAAAACCACCTTCACCCCGGACTCCATGGGGCCGGGAGTGCAGCCAGGGTTGCACCTTCCTGGCTGGATTAGCCAGCTCAACTCCTCTCCCCGGATTATTTGGCGAACGCCTCCCACCTAAACTCCGCTTTTGGAATTTCCGCACGATGACCCATTCACTGAAAACAATTTAATCAAGGGATAATTCAGCCTTTCTTGGAATTGTCACAAGCTTCTCTCCCTCCAAACCCACCCCGTATTCAGGAAGAGTCGCTCAGTGGTGAATATCCCAAATTGGAGCTGGGCTAATATTAGTTCCGGAGGGTCAGCTAAGCCAAGTGAGATTGCTCTGATTGTTTGGTGTTGTTCAGGCAGCCTGGATTCACCCCCCTGCTTCCCACCCCCTTTTACAGCCAGGAAATAAACAGCTGGAGAATTTCTTTTACCCCCTGCCAAAAGCCAGAAAAAGAAGAGATGGAGATTTATTTTATTCCCCAGGGGAAACTGGGATTTGTTTGAATCTGGCCCCACCATCCTTTCACTGCCTTCTCGTGCTTGAGATGTCCCTTCTCATCTCTTGACAAGTTTCTTCTGCTCATTACTGATCCCGCTTGGCAGCGGGGCTGCCTCATCCCGCGTCTCCCCGTGGCTCCGGGCTGGGAGCTGATCCCGACCGCCGCTGGGAGCAGGCGTTAAGCATAAGCCCAGCTTAATTAGGAGCCTAACTCCCTGCGGTGAGAGATAGAAACCAGTCTGCGCTGGTGCTGTGCGTGGGTTTCCATCTCGCCCCTCGCTGTGGGTGCCCAGGCTCTCCTCAGGCTCCATCAGCATCCCACCCTCACCCCCAGGGACCTCCCCACATGGTCCTGGAGGTGGGAACACAGCCCTAAAACCCTTCTGTGGTGCTTCCAGGAGCCCCCTTCCCGCTGTGCCATCCCCTCTCCTGACTCTCTCCCGGCCCCTTCCAGAATGAGACGGATGACAACCAGATCCAGCTGGTGGGAGGCGACGTGGAGCTGCCCAAGGAGCTGGCCAAGATGATCGAGCAGGACAACGAGGAGGAGGAGGAGAAGAACTCGGTGATTGGGCAGCTCAGTAACATCCAGAACCTGGACCTTGATTCCTTGAAGGACAAAGCCTCGGCCACGCTAGAGGACCTGAAGCAGTCGGCGGAGAAGTGCTCCGTGATGTGACGGGGCTGAGCAGGGAGGGGACGCAGCGCAGGCTCTGGCGGGGGCTGCTGCCTCAGCGGGGACCCCAGCCACGTTGTCACCCTTGCCGTGTGTCACCCGGCTGCCCCTGAGCCGCGTGGCCCCTCGAGCCCCCGCCCCAGATGTCCCTGATGTGTGGCTTTCGTTCCGTTCTCTGGCTGAGGTTAGAGCCAGGAGCCAGCATGTGTCCCCCCCGTACCCCACGGCCTCCCCCGTGCCCGGGCAGGGGTGTCTGCAGCCAGAGCCGGGGAGGTGGCAGCAAGGACAGTGACCTTGGGGTGTGAGTGACCTGGGAGTGTGATTGGGGAGTGACTGACCTTGGACAGTGACAGATCTTGGAGAGTGACTGACCTTGGAGAGTGACTGACCCTGCAGTGTGAATGACCTTGCAGTGTGACTGGCCTTGCAGTGTGACATTGGGACTCCCGGCCTTGCTTGATCCCCCTCTCCCTCGTTTTTTCCCCCTAAATCCAGCTGGGTGAAGGAAAACTACCTTCACCCCGGACTAACCCGAACCCACACTGACCTTGCAGTGTGACAGACCTTGGGATGTGACTGACCCTGGGGCGTGATTGACCTTGCAGTGTGATTGACCTTTCAGTGTGACAGACCTTGGGATGGGACTGACCTTGGGGCATGATTGACCTTGCAGTGTGATTGACCTTTCAGTGTGACAGACCTTGGGGTGTGATTGACCTTTCAGTGTGACAAACCTTGCAGTGTTACTGATCTTGCAGTGTGATTGACCTTTCAGTGTGACAGACCTTGGGGTGTGACTGACCCTGCAGTGTGACTGACCCTGCAGTGTGATTGACCTCGATCTGTGACTGACCCTGCAGTGTGACTGACCTTGGGGTGTGACAGACCTCGGGGTGTGACTGACCTTGCAGTGGTGGCCCCACTGAGCTGCGGCTCTGCCTCCACTCAGCCTCCCAGGAGCGAGCGGGAGGCTGGGATTTGCCTCGCAAGGACGAGGCAGGGTGTGGAGCCCCTGTCCCATCCCCATCCCCCAAGAAGCAGCCTCCCATCCCTGCCAGGAACACCAGCCCCGTGCCCTTGAGGGCCCCTCTGGAGGAGCCAGCCGGGAAGGAGCTGCCATCCGATCTCTGAGGGAAGGGGGGTGCTGAAGCTGAATTGACACCAGAGAGGAGCAAGAGCCCTCGCTGGTGCTGAGCTGAGCCCGCAGCAGCCCTTGCCCGGAGCAGCGCCGTCCCTCTCCTGGGGTGGGATCCTGTCCTTGTTCCTGCCAGGAGAAGAACAAAGCCATGAGGGAAAATGTCCCCGTCCTCCCGCTCGTCGTGCTGTAGTCGTGCCGTGCTCGGTTGAGTGTCCCTCCCCTCCTGTGCTGTCCCCGTGCCATGGTACTGTTATAACCGGTGGAATAAATACCAGGAGATGTCTATGCATTCACTTCTCTCCCCCAGCTCTGTTTTCCTGGGCAAAGTTTTCGATTTTCCTGGTTTTGGGGGAAAAAACGTTCCTATTTTCCTGGCAGCGGAATCCCAAAGAAAGCTCCTCTCCTGGCTGCGCTCACATTTGGGACCAAGGGGATGCTACAAGCAGCTCATTGGCAGCAGTCTGGTTTAAAGCAAACAAAATTCCTGTTTTTCTGCAGGTTTTTTTTTTTGCTATTTTAATACAAAACCCTCAGAACTCTGAGTCTCAGGGGCACTGCAGGATGCCCAGTGGAGGCACTGCTCCAAGCAAGGACACTCTGCAGGGATGAGCCCGAGCTCGTGCAGGTGTGACCCAGCTCTGGTGGCATCCCGGCAGGCAGGGGGCTCCTGTGGTGAGGCTTCCTGGAAGAACTTGGCATGGGCTGGGAATTCATCGCTCCAAATCCCGTGGGAGCTGATGAGCTGCAGTTTGGTTTTGTGAGGAAGGATGGGTCACCCAGGAAAACACAGGAGAGGGTGCTGAGAAACTGATTCTTCACCATCATAATTTATTTTATTATTCTATTTTATTTTATTTTATTTTATTTTATTTTATTTTATTTTATTTTATTATTTTATTTATTATTATTACTATTGGTGCTGGATCAAGCCATGCTGCACCAAGAGATTCCTTTCTGCCTCCAGACCCTTGATAACCCTGTGCCAGGGCCAGGTCGTTCTGGGAAACTCCTGATGTCCATTCCCAAGAGGACAGACAGACAGACAGACAGACAGACAGAGGCAGCTCAGGTGTGGACACACATCCTCCCAGCCCTCCAGCCCCCGGGAGCAGGAGACTCCAGCAGCTCCAGGGATGTGTGCTCCCATCAGATCCCCAACCCAGCGCTGGGAGCAGCCAGAGGGGAGATGGGCAGGAGCAGCTTCAGCCCTGCGAGGGGATCATACCTGATGAGGATCAGCCCGAGCTGCTCTAATTCCCGCCAGGAAAGGGAGAGCAGGGAGCGGGCACGGCCCCAGCCCAGCCCTCGCTGCTCAAATCCCAGCGCCGAGGCTCAGCCCGAGGGAGAGAGCGGGATCCGAACCAGGGCGGGGACCACGGGGCTGGGATGGAGCGGGAGAGGATGGGATGGAGTGAGAGGCTGGGATAGAAGCAGGAGATGTTGGGATGGAGGGAGGACAGGCTGGGATGGGGGCAGCAGGGGCAGGCTCCCCCTCCTGCCTTTTCCCTGCCCTCCAAGGATGCATCAATGCCCATCCCACGGCACAGCAGGATCCCAGCCGGAGCCGGGGATGCAGCCCCGCGGTTCATCCGCCCAGAACCAGCCCGGATGCTCTCCCGCACCTTTCCCTGCCCCCTCCCCTGCCCTGCCCCCCGTGCCCGACCCCTGGGCTGCGCTCGGCGCCCTCCCGGCCCACGTGAGCCGCGCAAAGGCCGCGTGAAGCTCAGCGCGTTTATTTTAGGAGGCTCCGTGACCCCCAGGCATGTGAACAGCCAGGCAGCCCCCGCTGCCCCCGCCCCGCTCCCGAGACGTGTTAAGCCGCAGCAGAGCGTTCCCGGCAGAGCCGAGCGGCGGCGGCGGCGGGGATGCTGCTGCCATCGCTGCCCCTTCTGTCCCTGCTGTCCCTGCTGCCATTGCTGCCCCTGCTGTGCCCGCTGTCCCTGCTGTCCTTGCTGCCATCGTTGTCCCTGCTGCCACGGCTGGGTCACTGCCTGCACTGGGGAGGAGAGGCTGGGATGGAGAGAGGAGAGGATGGGATGGAGAGATGAGAGGTTGGGATGGGGATGAGAGGCTGGGATGGAGGGATGAGTCTGGAATTGGGGGATGAGAGGCTGGGATGGAGGGATGAGAAGTCAGGATGGAGGGAAGAGAGGCTGGGAAGTAGGGATGAGGCTGGGATGGAGAGAGGAGAGGTCGGGATGGAGGGAGGAGAGGCTGGGATGGAGGGAGGAGAATTTGGGATGGGGATGAGAGGTTGGGACGGAGGGACAAGAGGTTGGGATGGAGGAGAGGTCGGGATGGAGGAATGGGGCTGGGATGGAGGGATGAGTCTGGGATTGGGGGATGAGAAGCTGGGATGGAGGGAGGAAAGGCTGGAATGGAGGGATTAGAGGTTGGGATGGGGGTGAGAGGTTGGGATGGAGGGATGAGGCTGGGATGGAGGGATTAGACGTTGGGATGGAGGGTGAAGTGGCTGGGATGGGGGGATGAGTCTAGGATGCAAGGAGGAAAGACTGGAATGGAGGAAAGAGAGGTTGGGATGAGGGTGAGAGGCTGGGACGGAGGGATGGGGTCAGAATGGGGCAGCAGGGGCAGGCAGCCCCTCCTGCCTTTTCCCTGCCCACCAAGGAATCCATCCCAGTTTCCAGCAGTTCATGCTGCTGTATCCCGAGCATCCCTGCAGCCTCCATGCCATACGACTGCTCCGGGCATCAACACACAGACTGAAAATCTTAAAGCAAAGAATAAGTGTGGATTAAAGCAGAAAATGTTGTTTTTCTCTCTCTCTTTTATAGGTTTTATATCATTCCCTCACCTATGGGGCTGGGATTGGGATAGGTTTGTCCAAGCAAGCCCTTGCTGGTTGCTGGAAGATGCTGGCAGTGACAAATTTTGTTAATAAAATAAAATAACCTTTATTGATCTAATAACATAAATTTTATTGACAAAACTGCCCTCCTGCACCAGCCCATTGCTCAGCTGGCTGCAGGATCTTCCTCCTTCCCAGTGGTGAGTGTGGGACGAGTGAGTGGTTTCCCCAACGGATAAAGCATTAAATGAGCAATTGTTAAAGTGCTGAAACAAATGAGCTGCCACGGAAGGCTGGGGAATCTCCCTTCTCCTTTCTGCAGGCAATTAAACTTCCCCGAGAGTGGCTGTGGGAAGGGATGGCCCATCCATGCACCCACTGCTGGTCCAACAGCCAGGATTAATCCAGATTACAGAGCCCTGGGGAAGCCCGAGGCTGGCTCCACACTGACCCAGTTGTCCCCAGCCCATCGTGTGCCTGACCTCGCGTCACCCCACGCGCTGGCACCGCCAGGGTGACAACACAGCTGCCACTCCCCACCTCTCTGGGTGACAATCCGGCCCCAAGAGCCACCCTGTGAGGGCTGGGTGGTGGCATGGATGGGACTGGAGGGGAGCAGCTCCTCCCTGAGCAGCAGAGTGACAAAGGCCATGCTGCCAGGCTGGACACTGCTCCCTTCGTGCCATCTTCCTGTGGGAAATCCAGGGCTCTTGGGCAACTAATCCATATATAATTACATATATATATATATTTATATGTAGAATCCATTTATTGTTTATATTATGTATTTATTTATACATTTTAACTCTACTGCACACCCTGATCACACATTTCTCATTGGTGTCTTTGCTTGTCCACATGCTCTGCATGCACTTCTCAGAATACGTGATTGGTTACAGTCCAGGTGGCTCACAGCTCTCTGTTACCTCTTTCTTGTGGTCTTGGAATTCGGTTTCTTTTCTTCCTGCTTATTTTAGCACAGTTTATGTCTTAGTAACATTGATGAATTCTAGAGAGCCCTGAGAAAATCCTGGTAAGAGCAGCTACAAGCGAAACAACCGGCGCACCCTGTTGTCGCAGACATCTTTTCATGAAAAACCCTTTCCTTTGGATTTTTTCTCCTGAGAAACTGAGAGGCCTCAGGAACAAAATGTAAACATTGATTATCTGCTGCTGTGAAATGCAACAGGTGCATCTGTGATTGGTTCATGTTAGTTTGTAATTAATGGCCAATCACAGCCCAGCTGGCTCGGACTCTCTGTCCGAGACAGAAGCTTTGTTATCATTCTTTCCTTGCTATTCTCAGCTAGCCTTCTGATGAAACCTTTTCTTCTATTCTTTGAGTATAGTTTTAATGTAATATATATCATAAAATAACAAATCAGCCTTCTGAAACACGGAGTCAGATCCTGATCTCTTCCCTCATCCGAGAACCCCCGTGAACACGGTCACACCCTGCTCAGACGCATCGCTCACCTTCCCTCGGTGACATCTGGGCAGCCAAAAACCTTGGTGCAGGCGACACTGACACCCACCCCAGCTCCCTCAGCCCCAGGGGAGCACCCAGAGGCTCACGCTGTCCCCAAGGGCTGGCGCTGGGCTGGGGCTGGGCCGCGCTGGCGGCCGAGCGTGAAGGCAGATGCGATTATCCGCGCCGGCTGCCGCAGCCGCCACGGGCCGGGGGAGGACACGGGCTGGGAAAGCACTTCAAAGCCTCAGGGTATAATCTCTGCTCTGAATAATGACGATAATAAGAGTAAAAAGAGATAAAAAAGAGTAAAAAAAGATACAGAAGCGCCTCGTCGCATCTGCCCGGGAAGCTCCGCGCTGGTTTGAGCACGGAGCAGCCGGCGCTGGGGTGGGATGTGGGGGGAGGCTGTCTTGGGAAGAGGTCACGGCTCAGAACAGCTGTGGGACACCCCAAAAATTCCCCTGTTGCTCGCCTCAGCCCTTCTGCTTTCCCTCATGGCCCTTCCTCACCCGCCACAAAAATCTATTGGAGAAAACAGGATTTTACGTAATGGGTCGTGTCGTTCTGCTCTGTGTTTTCCACACACACA